TACGTTTAAAACTGTAAAACAGGTCAAATAACAATTAACCGACAAACACACTAGACTCGGGCTCCATTAGCAACCTTAAGCAATTTCACACATTCGTTGATTCATGAAATACCATTTTATCATTTATTAAACTTTAAAACCGTGATAGGAAATAAGGTGAGGGGTCCTTACTCGTTTCGGGGTCCGAACACGGCTTCACAGTGCGCTTGCAGGCTGTCCCTAATTTTCCTTGAATTTTCTTCGGGGAACTGAAACGCACTACTGGTACCTGCACGTGTTCCAAAAAAATCCCAAATTAGGCCCAGGGCCCCTTTCGGCCCTAATCGCAACTCCAGCACGGCGGCTCCGCCATGCTCCGGCGACGGCGCTGCCGCTGGCGGCGGCAATTTGCCTCGGGTTGGCTGTTTTCGGCCGAATTCGGCCACACTCGCATCGATCCCTGCGAGAAAACAACCCTAGGGCCCTCGGGGGGCCAAAAAATCACGGAAAAACGGAGCTTACCGGCGGCGGCGCTCTCGGGTACGGCGGCTCTCCGGCGAGGTTCGTGTTTTGGTGATTCGGCTCCGGTCAACCTGTAGAGAAAAGAGTGGTGATCATGGTGATATAAAAATTGCATCAAACGGAGGCCGGGAAGGGCCTCATCGGAGGCAAAAACCGAGAAGGGCGCGGCGGCGCCGCTGGGCTTCGGCCGTTTGGCTGGGATTTTGGCTCCGATTTGGCCACAGGAGGAATTAGCGTGGAAAAACGAGTCGGGGGTACGAAATTTACCTCGATCAGCGGTAGAAAGTTCCTCCGGTGCGGCGGCGGGTGGCGGCGGCCGGCTTCTGGTTCGTCTTCTCCGGCGAGCGGCAGGCGGCTAGGGTTTGTGGTCTGGTGTGGGGGTTCTATTTATAACCCCTTTCCTTTTGATCTCAGCCGTCCATTTTGTTTTAATCTAGGTCGTCCGTTTTTGATTGAATCTGGGCCGTCCGTGCGTTTAAATCTGGGCCGTCCGATCGTGCCCACGCGGATCGCCAACGAGGCCCTTTTTGGAACGACGTGGTTTTGCCACGTGGCAAGTCCCGGTTGGTCGGGACTGCTGACCGGGCCTGCTGACGTGGCTGCCGACGTGACTTTTTTTTTTTTCGGTCCGGACGCTACACTCATATCGGACGGGATATGGGGACGGCTCGATTCACCTTCATACCGAACGGGATATTGAGGGATGGTATTTTTGGCGCTCATACCAAACCGCGTATAGGGATGACTGGTTAGTTGATAAGTTTTGTTATGGGTTCACGCATAGTGGGATATCCCTGTGGACCCTCAGGAATACTAGTAAGCAAATAAAAAGAGAAAGTTGTTGTTCTGGTTAATTGAATATGAGATTATGATGTTGTTTGTGTTATTACCTCTATAGATTGGTTTTAAAAATCTCGCTACAATAAGTATGCAATAAATGATTTTATTTATGATAAATGAATTTATTTAATTTAAGAGCTCTATTAGTTGTTTTTATTATTTTCACCAATCTTCATTTCTATATCGATGAGTAGTGTGATATTTTTATTGAGCTACTGTAGCTCACCCTTTCATTAACTATTTCATATCAAAAAAACTAAAATACAGATCCCGATCAACAACGGGGTTGTAAATAGTTCACCACCTGAACTCCTTTCAAAGGCTAATGAAGGTTGTCCTATGACACATAATTGCTTACTTTTCATTTATTTCTTGATTTTTCACTTGTTCTTTTAGAATGGTATTCTCGTATCCCTATTGGGTATTCTAACTTATTATGTAATGAATGTAAACCCTAACTCTATTATTTCGCTTCCGCATTCAATTTATAATTTATTTTCTTTTAAGTTTATAATCGTTACACACATGTTTTATTTATATTTGTTAGGAATTTATAGAATTAATATATAATTCACAAACAAAAATAATTTTTCAATATATCTTTTATCTATATAAAAATATTTTCCAACATATATAGTCACATTATCAAATAATAAACTATATAAAAACATTTACGACATAAATTTCTCTTGTAAAATTCTAAACTTTTGAAGAAAAAATCAACAACAAAATTCATTCTTCTTCACATGAATCACATAAGAACTTCAACGAGAAAGAGAGAATAATTTCTCTTTTACTTGCGCTCTAACGTTATGTTAGATAATAGTAACTAACTATTTATCTGATATACTGTATTAACTGTTAGACAGTTATCACTACTAATTAATAATTAATTATTATTAATTTAAACCGGATCCACCTGATTAATTTCAACAATATATGTCCATTATATTATTTATTCTTCTTTATTATTTATTTGATAACATAATAGTATTAATTACATGAGAAAAAAAAAAAAACTAATCCAAATGCCTTTGTAATAACCCAATGATTAGATTTATTTTAATTTATAAATCAAATTTAAAATTCAATTTTTTTTTCAAAAAATGTAATTTTTTTCCCATGAATGTTTTAGTCCCAATATTTATAATTATTTTTATACAAATTATTGAGAAAATTAATATTAGCATTCAAAAACCGATCGATAGTATATAATTATATATAAAAAAAAGCTAGAGAAAATATTACCCCATCAATTATTTTATTTTAGAAACAAAAATTAAGTAGAATAAAGATTATATATTATTTGTTTTTTTATAAGTAATATTTTGTCAATTAGTGTGAAATATTTTACAAAAAAAAAAGCAATTAGGGAAAAGGAGAAAAGAAATTGCATGTTTTAATGGTTTGTAGTGAATGAGTTGAATGTAGATGGTCCAATTAATCTATCTAGTAATAATTACACACCCCAATCATAGATTCATACTTTGCACCAACCAAGATAGCCTATGGTTTCTAATTAATGATGGTAAAAAATATAATTTTTTTAAATAAAAAATTTAATAAAATGGTAATTTAACACTAAAAATTTTGATATATTGTATTAATTAATTATATATATATATAATAAGTCATATATTGTTGAACTTGTATTATCTTATTATTTTAAATTAGTACTTAATTTAATAGTTAATATATTATTTTATGTGCAAAAAATTATACATTCGAGTCAAATTGAACTCTTTTGTACATTCTCGTTTGAAGGTTATTATATATGTGTATATTTTAATTGATGAATATATTTTTTATCCGTTAAAGATATATATTTATCAAATATAAGTATATGTATCCTAATTTAGATTATTTAAAAAAAATAGTAAGATTAACTAATGGTTTGAATACCAATTTTTACCAAAAACATGTAAATTTCCAATCATGTGAACAATTGTGGTGCATTTACTCTACAAATTAATGCAGGATCTTTCCCCCCCCATCCATTAAATGGGAGAATTAAGAGCTAGGGTTTGCACTTTTGTTATTTGACTCTTGGGTTCATCTAACATTAATGTGGAAATGAAAGTGGAAATGAAAACTGAAATCAAAGCTCTCTGCTGCAAATCCAATTGGGTTTTCATGGAAACTCCCAAGGCAGTGTTTGGATGAGAGGGAATTGGTTAGTTCCCAGACATTAACTCAGGTAAGTTTCAATTTGACAATACTTTACATTAGAGTTCACAATCCTTGCAGGCAGGTATATTAAATACAGCTCTTTACATATATGGGTGAACTGTATATGTATGTTTTATATACATGCACATGTAGGCTTTGTTCTGAATGAGACAAACAATGCCTACCCCTCCTCATCAATGGGGGAACTTGACCTTTCAGGGGACACCATTATGATGATGAAACACAACAAAATCAGAGAGAAAAAGAAATGGAAATAATGGTGTTTCAGAATGACACTGCCCTTCTAAATTCTAAATCAAGTAAAAAAGTTCATGGTCAAAATTTTCATTCATTTGTTTATAAAGATTACTTCAGTGGAAATGATCTAATTGGTTCTACTATTTTATGTCTTAACCCTAAAATGAAGTTTTAAAAAATCACTATTATTTTTATATATGTTATCTGGGTAGTAAGTGTCTTCTTACCCCAATCGAACAAACTATTGGTTTACAGTATTAAATGGTAATTTTAGGGTTATGGCACCAACCCTCTCATCCTAGAGTACTTGCTTGTCCTAAAAGAGAAAAGAAAGAGAGCAAATGGAAACACCCAAAAGTGGGGTAAAGGACTAAATAAGTGATGGCAGTTTCTGCTACAAGGAGGTAAAATAAAATATGTATGTGTGTGTGTGTGTGTGTGGAATAATCGATAAAACAAAACAGCCAAGGAAAATGGAAAGAAGGTGAGAGAGTCACATGGATGTTGGGTGACTTTAACCCCGTGCCTAGCTGTAATCATATATATTCACACACATAGGGGTTTTGCCCTAAACGATGCCAACCCTACTTCATAAACTAACCCCCCATAATAATTTATTCATATATGTATATATGTATGTGTGGATAAAGAATACTCATGGGTTTTGGTCAGATAAAGTGGTCTTACGCTTAAAAAATAAGTGTGTATTTCAAAAGCTGCAGGCAAAGGATAGAGAGACCCCACAAGGAAACCTCCTTAGTCCTCTAATTCCATTGGAGGAGCAGGTAAGACCAAAGGGTTTAAAGGGCATCAGTACTGCTGCTTAATTTTCAAACACCAAGCCTAGATGCTGTCATGCACCCACACCAGAAAAAAAAAAATATATAAAAAGTTCTAATACACATGGAGATGGTGACTGGGTCAACAAAGAGAATCCAAACAAGCTTATCAATTCAAAAAGCTAAATAAATGGGTTGAATAGGTAAATTGCTTACCTGATAAGCATTCTATTCTCAACCTCTGAAAATTTTGAGATCAAACGGTCCATCACTGCAATTCTACCATGACAAGAAAGAAGGTTTACAATACAAAAGATAATCACTGCAGTTCTACCAAGATGCAAAAGAGAGTTCATAATACAAGAGATAATCTTACACCGTAAAATAATAGAATTTACTTGTTCTTTATATCTTAAAGAAAAGCATTCAAGAAAGTCAAAATGCACAATTCACTGAACTAAGAACATAAAGATCAATATACTGATCTATGTATTTATGAGCACTCAACATCTTAATGGACATAGTTTTTTTTTTCCCTTTTCTTTACATCATTTTTCTTATCCAGAACACTGTCCAGCCACTGCTCCAGTACAAAAAAGAACATCATGAAGACATTACAGTCAAAGGCAAGCGAGTGAAGAAAGTACTTCAATTCCCTTGTTCACCCGGCTGTTGCCATTTACATTCCTTCTCCTTCCCAAACCCATAAACAACCTTTAAATCAAATAACCACGCAAAAATAACACAAGGTTTAACAGTAAAAGTAACAAAATCAGACATTAGCGTCAATCTCACCCCTAACAAACAGCAGCTACCATTTTTTACTGCTGTTGCCATGATCACTGAAGCAAAAGATAATTAGTAGAATCATAAAACGTTAATGGTTCTACTGTATGACGACTTCACTACTCCCTAAAACCATGGAAGGTAAACGAAAAATTAACCTCCATTTGCTCCAATCCCTAAATGGAATACCAAGCTCCAACCCCACGGCTGGATTCTGCAATACGAGTATAAATTCACCACGGCCATGTTTGAGCCTGTGAATGATTATGCTGGTATTTACAGATTAACAGAGGCATACCCCAAAATAAAAAAATTTAGCCTGACTCCTACTCTGTAACTTCTACCGGGTTAGTCAAGTAATATGAACTATCAATATAGACAATTGCCCTGGTCTGGTCCTATCATATGTTAGAGTTCCGTCTTCCAGATCATGTTATCAGTGCCAGCACTATGATCTTTCTCCAGTGCTGCAACTTTTGCCCGATGTGCAGCCAATGCGATCCCACTCTTCCCTTTTTCATCTTGAGGGAGTTCACAGGCTTCACTTATGGATCCTGTTCTTAAGTCAGCCGGGGGGATAAAACAGTCTACTGAAAGGCCAGGAATATTAAATGCAACCTCTTCGATTGTCCAGGCTTCTTCCATCTTTGTTTTCGTATGACTCATTGCCACCTCACCAAATCTGAAAAGTGTCACAACAGAACGTCCTGTGTGTGCTATCATGATCCCTTCGACAGGTCTGTAATCTTCAAGGAATGAATTGATTGTTGTTTCCCAGTAAACTGCATCGCCACCATTAGATTGGATTCTGGTCAGATGTGAATCCTCCATGTGGACAAGAAGTCCAGTCTTCTGGCTGAAGTAGCCGAACAATACATGCCTTATGATCTCTGCAGGGCCTTCGCTCCTTGCTCTTAGTGTTTGAGGATCTGCACAGAGTTTCAGAATGAAGCAATCCTCACCATTAATGTTCTTCTCCCCAATACAGCGCGCATTGGCAAACATACTAGCTGTATTTCTCGGATCAAGGCCCTGAAATCAAACAACAAGCAAACCTCAAGTCCCCTAGAAAAATTGCAAGGACAACTAAAGAGTTATCAGAATTTGAGCAAGTGAAATGACGAGGGCACAGCAATTGGAGAGCAAACTTCACCTGGAGTGCTCGACGCAAGGGTCTAACAGGCCCTTTCGCTGTGTGGGCACCAAGCCAAGGTGTATGCCTCCAGACAAGCTTGCCATTGCAGCCAGCGTGAACCTTACTCCCACCAACAGCGAGCTCAACATACCACATGTCTGGATTCATTTGCCAGAGAACAAACCCACCTGATTCTGAGGTCCTCGAGGAATGCCTATTCTTAACTGTTCTAGTGGCAGTTTCAAATTCTGAAGCTACCATTTTCAGCTTACCCATGGCATAGGCATTTCGAATGGAGTTCTGCAGTTTCTGGCCACCGGAAGCAGCTGTGTACTGCTGCAATATGTACTGGGCAGAGGAAGTTTCCTGTAAAATTCCAACCATGGAAAATGAAACCCAACTTCAATCTGTTTTCCAAAATCCACTCCATTTATAACTTTAAATCAAAGAAAAACCCATAAAGTGATCAATGGAAATTTCATCCCATCTGTACTCTGGTGTCTGCATTTGCCGAAGGAACTCACATTTTCTATAGCTAATTTCTTCAGTCTATAATGCAAACTACAATTTTTTTGGCTCCTACTGTCTCTAGATCACAGAGAACCTGTTAGTTTCTGAGAAAATACAGGGATAATGGGTGGGAAGGTAAATCTAAAATAATATCCAGTAAGCTGGGATGAAGGAAAAAACCGTACTTCAGGTGAGAATAGTTATATACATCGTTTTCCCAACAACCAAATATACAGTTGACCCAATAAAGAAAAATGAATAGGTAAAAGAACAGACCCATTTGATGTACAGGAAACTTGTAAAGCAAAATATTAAACAAATTCAGACATGGAAACACAATATTTATTTAAGATTCAACGTGTCTGTTGATTTCTCCAAATCTAAGCAGAACACAAAAGGATTTCATAAATTATTAATTCAATTCTAAACTACCAAAAACCGTAAGAAACACGCTAGAAGCTTTTTTCCATCACATCAAAAGAAAATAAAATAAAAGGAGGACTTAAACCGCCATTCTTTTTAGTAAATCAAATCCAAACAAGCTCCTTACTCATGACGACAGCTTGACAAGAACATCAACCAGAAGAAGAAATAATAAATCAAACCAGAGAGCTTCAAAGAATACTCGGCAAAAACAAGAGAAGACAGAGAAATCGAATCACGAATTTCGTGGTAAATTAAGTTAACCTAGTTTTTTCTTTACCCTGAACTGGTGATAATACCACCAAGAATAATGGAAAACGGAAGAGGCAAAAAGCTTTGCAGTGAAAAAAAAAACAACAAAAAGAAACGAACCGGCACACACGTACAGTATATGAAAGTATACAGAGCGACAGAGAAAGGAGAAGGGTATAGAAGATGAACTGACAATGGGAGTGTCCTTAATGCTCAGGTGAGGCAGAGGGTCGGTGCTGCTGACATGAATAGGGGCGAGAGGTGCGCCCATGACACCAAGCAACAATCTCAGATCAGACCTCTTACAAGCCATGGCGGTCACCGATGGAGTCCTCGATAACTGGCCCTTAACCCACTGGCCCAGACCTGATCCACTCCGTTTCGAATCCCCGATTTCACCTCCATCCGGATCCGGACCTTCCATCAACGGCGCCAACGTTTCCCCTACCGGCCTCAGACTCCCGGATCTCGCAATCAATAGCTCCGGTTGCGCCACGTAATAGTTGTAGTTATAGTTGTTGCTGCTGCTGCAGCTGCTATGTTTCTTCCTCCGGAGCAGTCCCGACATCGGAGACGCCGTTCGGGCCGGACTGTTGGCCCGAGAACGCGACGGAGAAAGCCCACGCACTACTTCTTCCTTGAGAGCAGAGAAGAAACCCTGTTTTTTCTCCATTTTCCTCTCTGCACAACAAAAACAAAGAGTTGAACGGCAATGGCGGAAACAGATACGAAAGCGAGAAACTCTCTGATTTTCTAGAGATTGCAGTCAAGAGAGAGACGAGAACGCGAGTAACGGTCTCTTCATAGAGCTCACTGTAAGCTGTAGAGCAAATAAGCAATAGTGTGAAACTAAGTTGCAGACTACGACTGGGGAGAGAGAAAGAGAGGGAGAAAGGGAGGCTGTATTAGTTGATGGTTTTAGAGTGAGAAAAAGTGGTGATATATACATGTATATATATATACACACTGAGAAAATGAAGACGACACTTTTTTTAGAGAGAGAAAACA